CAAGGGGCCTGAACGGTGCGTTTGCATGTCTCTTCTCTGTTTCAGCTTGTACTGTCAGATGCCAACACGCTTACGTAGGCGGGGGGCTGAACTTGCAAACGCCTGTGCGGGGGCGGGCGGAGGTTTGAAGTGCCGGTGGCTGCGAGCTGTACAGTACGTGTACACTGTAGCTGGGAGGGGCAGTACGGTACAAGGTTGCCCGTTGGGGAGGGGAGCGCTGGCGGTGAGGTTTGCGGGGCGTGTGGGTGGTGGTGCGCTGTATCGCGGTGCGCTGTACAGTATCGTGGCCCTGTGGGCGGTGTCGGAGGCGTGGCCGCGGGGCGATAGCGCAACGAGGCGCACGGGCGGGTATTCGAGGCGGGCGCGATAGCGGGACCTGAAGGGCGGTCGCGAGACACCGTATATCTTACCCTTCGAGTGGTAATTTGCTACAGTATCTGATGGCAGAATCTGAGGGCCGACCTGGGCGCGTGATATGAGGATTTCAGCTGCCGAGGGGCGTGATTGGCCGCGCGCAATCGCAATTACTGTTACCCGGCACACGGCGGGGCACACGGCGGGGGCGGGGAGGTGGCGCCGTGGGCGCGGCGGGCGCGGCGGGCGCGGCGGGCGCCGCTGGCACGCTCGGCGGGCGGCAAAAACACGAGGCGAGGGAGAGACGAACGCGGTTTCCGGCGTGCGCATCCCGCGGCGGGCGGCACGCGGCTCGCGGCCGTGGCGCGTCGTCCGCGATGCAATTCTGCGAATCCGGAGGTGGGGCGGGCGGGTGCGGATGCGTACGTCGCCACTTGTCGCCGTGGCGCGCCGCGCGGGGGGGCGTGTGGAACGAGGATGCGACGCGCCGGGCCGAATGCTTGCAGCACGCGGCCCGCGTCGAGGCAGCGCGCCGGCGCCCGTCAACGGGGACACGAATGTCCAGGCCCCGCGCCCTCAGCGATTGGTCGCCCGCGTAGCTCAGCAGCCAGTGATCGCGCCGCGCCGCCAGTTTTAAACTGCCCAACTCCACCGACACTTGAGGACGCGTCACCGCGTGACTACCTTGCAGGTGGAACCTCACGTTCTCGCACCCCTCCGTCATCCATCCCGACGACGCCCGCCCCGTTCGTCACGCCCGGATCCATTGCGGGCCCCGTGCGGGCCCCGACGTCGTCAGAAGGTCCATTCGGAGCAGCATTTGGCCCTGCCGACATGCCTACAGGGCCCTATCGGACCAACCTCCTCTTCTCCCGTCGAGAGTGCCCCGCCTTCCACTGCCAGACACGCACTGCCCACGCATGCCATTCGTCACACCCCATATCCCCCTTCCCCCCTTCGCTTGCCGCCCTCTCTCGCTACCGCGCCAACGGACCCCTCTTCCCACCAACGCACGCACCCCCACCCACCGCCCGCATTCCTTCTTCCCGTCCTGTGTCCAGCCATCATTGTCCACATCCTATCCCATCTCTGTCCACCCCCTGTCCAACCCCCGTGTTGCCTCCCCCCTCCCATCTCCCTCTCTCACAACACGCCTGACGCCTTTAAGAAACCTTTTGTCCCATCCACATCCATACGCATTCGCCATATACCTCTGCCCAGACCTCCACCAACGCCGACCGCACCAACTACTCACCCCTCATCCCGCCGCCGACTGAATCGCCCCCGCACGCTTCGCCAACTCTGAAAACTCCCTTTCGTCCCCATCTCTTCAACCTCAACTCATCGACGTCGTCTTCACTCAACTCCACCCCCCCCCCCCCCCCTGTTCCCCACTTCCTTCGTTCACTCCACCACCTTCTTCCACGAACCCACTCCTTGTCCAAGCTACCCACACCAATTCAACAACCATTCTTGTCTAATCACATAACCCCTCCCTTACCCTACTGGATCTCCCACCCTTCCTGCTCCCTTCCTTGGCTCACCTAGCTCTTTATCCGTCTCATATCATCCGCGACCCTCCTCACCCCGTCTCAGAATGTCTTCCGCAATGGACATCGACACGACCAGTGCCTCTTCGTCCCCGTCCATCTCATCGCTCAAAGAGTCCGCAGATGCTCCTCCTACACAAAGCATGCCAGTCCCGATTGCAGGCTCTCCCTCAGTCTTCCGCCCTAATATCGGCAAGCCCACCTCGCCATCCGCGTTTGCTCCTCCCACCGGTTATGCACCGGCCATGTTCAAGCTCAAACAATCTCGCTCCTCATCCGCCGCAACACCCCCGCCTCAAGCCTCTCAGCATCCCATCATATCCTCGAGGTTCAATCCAATCATCAACGTCACCGCCGCTCCCCCTGCGCAATCTTCTAACCCGGATCTCGCATCAAGCTTGGCAAGCCTCGATTCGTTGCCCTTAGCTTCCGCAGAGCAGCCATCCTCTCCGACAACTCCATCCTTCGCACATTCAGCCCCAGTGCAGATTCCACGTCCCTCCGCTTCCCGCATCCTTGGAGATTCTCGTCCCCCCATCGACCCTTCCTTGGGTGCGTCCACTGCACTTGGTTCCCACATCATCTCGTTTTCACCCACTGCAGCCATCCCCCAGTCCATGCCGAACCTCACGCCCAGTTTTCCCGCAACCTTGTTTGGAGGCGTTTCGGCCGAGGACGAGCATGTAACTGTCTGGGAACCCCAGACTGGAAAGACTGTCGCAGGAAACGCTGCTCCCTACAGGCGTAATCTTGCCACCTGGTTGCAAGGACATCCCGGTTGGGAGGAAAAAGCCGATGAGCTCAAGTCATCGAAGAGGCGCTCAGCAGCACGTAGATCGAAGAGCGCTGCAGATTCTTTCGCGGCCCTCTGCTGTTATCCCGTTGCCAGCTTTCTCGCGAGCGATGGAGCGAGATGCTTGGAAGCACTCGGCGATGAAGATTTCTGCACCGAGGAGGCCATGATGACTTGGACGGCCGACGATTTTGTTCGACTTCAGGAAGCGCTGTTCCGTCTTGGACAAGAATGTCATGCGCAACAGTGCAACCCAGCGGAACTCGATGACAATCGCTGGGCCGATGTGGCTAGCCAGATAGGGGGTGCAAAGTTGCAGGGCACGATAGTTTCGTGTGCGCATCACATGTTGACGCGTGGAATCGCGAAGAGTAAGCGGGAACTGGCAGGCAACACAAGCATGCCAGGCTCATTTAGTTCCGTTTCGTTTGGCGGCGTGGACTACTCAGGGGTGGATGCGCCTGCATCGGTGGGCTCATATGAGAATGACGGGGCCGGGTTTGAGGCCTTTGCTCCCAATTCTTTGCCTTCTTTCCGTGGGAACTTGGGTGCCTCATTTCTCGAAAAATCATTTCGCGCACCTCGTGAACCTCGTGTGACGGTGTGGAATCCCAGCAATGGCCGGACGATCTCCGGAAATGCGGCTCCGTATCGCAGAAATCTTGAAGCTTGGATGTGCCAACACCCGGGGTGGTGCCCAAAAGAAGAGGGTCAGTTGAGCTCTTCCCGCAGAAATCGCAGTCGAAAAGTGCGACCATCAAGCGTCCCGACTGCTAGTGAAGGGGAAATGGAGCACGAGGCACTGGAGGGGTTGCTATTCCTTGCGAGGAGCCCGTCTGCCGATATGTCAAGTGGCACGGCAGCAGCCCAGCTTGGAAAGCAAATGGGAAGGGTCCGAGGGGGAAGGAATGGGGCTCAGGCGATAGACGTCAATTCGGATAGGAAGAAGCTCGGTAACACGTCAAGCATATCGAGTTCCTCGGCCGAGTATGGCTCTGACAACATTACCGATGAGGAGGACGAGGAAGACGCAGAAGAAGATTGCCGAATGGAAATGTAGTTTCGTTTCACATCGAGACTTTGCAAACACGCTGGAACAGAATTCCCCACAGGAGGGTAACGGGAAGAGCGGGAATGCCACTCTGAAGTCCCGTGGATCAGAGTACGCGACCGCGGTCCGCCCTCGCCTTGTAAATTATTCAAAAAAACAAAAAATAACACTGTGGTGACGTGCTCGCTTTTTCGATGGCTTAAAACTTATGTACAAAGACCGTAAAGATAATTAACCCGATTTTGCGCCCTCGTGATGACTACGTAGCACTGTAGCACGGTACAGCAGCTGCCCTAACACCGCCTGATCGCCCTACGACACTCACTCTCGGGACAGACCTATGCTCGTTTTAGAATCGTTCCCCACATTCCTTGCGTTGTAACTTTGTCAAACCATCATAAGAAGTGTGCCAAAGCATAACATTGTTAAAATCATCGTCTGCCTGTCCCAACTCATTCCATCCGATCCCAGCAAGTACCGGTATGTTCCTCCCGATAAGCTGTCAATTCGGCCCAACGCCAACTTTGCCAGAGCACCCAGCATGAGGCAAGCTTAGAAGTTATGATTCTAGTGAATCTATCCCACACGCAATGGCTCTTGTCGAATTTATTCTGCATTCTGCTATGGGAGATGGCTGACATACTGTACTTTCCTTCGAATTACTGCATTTAAACGAACTCGCATTGGTAACCCATTCCTCCCCAGGTTAAGGGTCATTGAACTACAGATATTCAACTCAATGCAACAAACAAAAAATATGTGAACCTTGAGGCTAAATATCACCTCCCGCTCAATAAATTTGCTCTCACTTCCAGTCGCAGATAATACCCTTCCAAAGCGTGAGCAACATTCCGTCGCAACATGGTGCAGACAAAGCAGCTCTAGCTAGAAACTACAGAGTATTCCACTTGAGCAGAACAGTGCTGTACTTTCATACTGCAGTGCGTACAGTTGTATGACCAGCATTCATATGAACTGTAATTTACAGAGCTTCATGCAATGCTGTTCTGCATCAGGACCACAAAAAGACCCAAACGTACCGTAACAGCAGCCTCGCCTTGCGCTACACGTGTACAGCCTGAAATTCAACGGATGCCGTCAGAGCATCGAGGCCGGCTACCCTTAGTTAGGGTAGTGGAGGCGTTTGCACTTTTTTGACCGCCCGAGCGATCTGCCAATTGTGCGGAGATATACTTTCTTGATCGGCCTGGCGACGGAGAGTAGTGGCAACGAGAAGTGCTAGCTCTGACTTTTGATCTCTGCGCAAGGAATTCTACCCCTCGAAGATGGCAGGGAAGTTGGACAAGCGCGTGACAATTGCGCTGATCGGTACGGCAAGCGTGTGTGGGGCAGGTCTCGCCTACTATTTGTATAACAGACACTTTCACTCAAGTGAAGAAAGTATTGAAATCGAGCTGAATTTGGAGAGTGCACAGCTTGAATGGCTTGGCACCGTGTCTGACAAATACACAGATGGGGACGTGGCGATTGCCATGAAGAAAGTGGTGGATCATTGCCAAGTCGCTAGTGAAGATCCCAAAGCAGCCGAAACAATATTCAAAAAAGTTCGGTGCAATTCTTGTGGGAAGAAAGAAAAGCTTCCGTTTACGGTCTCGCTATTACAGAAACAAGTCGATTTCCTCGGCGATGCAGCAAAAAAGTACGAGATCACCGCTGGAAACGACAAGTGTATGCGAGTCATGTTGGAATATGCCATTAATGACGCGCAGGAAAGCAGTATTTTTGGCGACTAATGTGATGTTTGAACTGTTTTGCGAAGGAGTGGGCTCATCCAGAGGGCAGTACAGCCCTGGCTGAAAGGATGGGCATCACGTTATGAACCAATGAGGGAAAAAGAAGCTCAAGCTGTCGTGTCTTGTCAGAAAACGCTTGCACTTGCCAGTCTTTGTCTGATGGAATCAAAGCCTTGGACCGCAATGAATCGTCACCCTCCATCCCACCCGTGCTCTATGTTCCGTTTTCATCAACCGTACTGTTGTTTGCATGTCATGACGCATAGAAAAGGCAGTCAAATAGCCGGTTGGTAAACTGTTACGCATCCCTGGCAAAGTCTTGTTCTTCGTAGGCTAAGAGTGGTGATATGGTGCGTTAGTATGTCATACGATTTTCTGTGGAAGAGTCATGGAAGCAGCAGATCGATGGTTGATGGGTTCAAAGGCTACTCGATAGCACAATTGTCCATTGCAGGAAAGATTTCAGCCGTTGTGATCCCTCACTGCTTATTTGGATGGCAAGCATTTGCAGAACAGGATAGCAGAAAGCCTTTTTTCTCGCTAACGTATCATTTTATGCATATCATAGTTTCGCTATACCTGTATTCTGGAGGAGGCATACCTACAAGGAATTGGAGATTTTGAGAGAAGCGGCTTCGATTGAAACACTGACGCGTGGAGAAAACGTGTGTACGTTCTTTCACTGCTCCTGGAGTAAGCGCTGGATACAGATGTTGAGAGGATTTGTCATTCGAGAGAAGCTAAAGGAAACGCTATTTCGCGCAAGACATGAATGCGGTAGGGGCCCTGCTGCGTCTATGTTGGAAGTACTCTCGAGACGACTTCGAAAAGATTTCGGGAAGATTTATCGCGCATTAGTGTGGCTGGCTGTTTTTCAGTCGAATCCGTTCCATTTTGCGGCCTCGTATGAAAAACAGCGCCGGAGATGGGGTACGCCAACCGTCTGACACATAAACAACTTATCAAGTCCAAAGCGCAAGCTACACAACTCGTTACAAGTATACATATTTAGTGTCCGGTCAAACCTGAGTGAGAAGGTAAGGGAGAGGTGGGATGCGTGCCATATCTACTGCATTCGAGTTCGCAGCGTGATATGTCCGGAGACAACACGAGAGCAGTTTGACGGTTTCTCCTGCCCACCAGCGAATATCGTAAAGAGCTCCACAAGACGGCTCACTTGAGCAAAACGACAGTGCTTGATCTGCGGGGCAAGTCTCCAGTGACTCGATCCCTCGGTCCCATGGTAGGGATGCACTCTAGCGAATACTGCACTCAATAGTCGGTAGCGAGGCACTCTACCAGTTGCACTATAGACCTGCCCGCTGTAACAAGTCGCGAAGACCGCCGCTTTCACCAAACCAATCTCAAGGACGATTTACTTCTTGCTCTTTTTCGCTCAGACGTAGGCTCTACGCAAGGAATTCAGAAGCCTCCTTAGTGGCTGTGACACTCTACTCGCAAGATGTTTGGGAGAACGTTGCCCTTTTTCGTATTTTCCACGCCTCTCAGGTCAGCCCCTGGTGCCCATCGCACGGTGTCACCTGTAGTCGACCCCCGACTGACTTGTGTCGTACGTGCCCGATTGGCACCTACCCTTGGGTTGCGCGCAATACAATCCTCGCAGAGAGAAACAGGGGCCTGACAATTCGCATCGGTAGAAGCGTTTTACTTGCGTGTTGCAGACGGGACGATTTGCAACTGATTTTGCGCGTAGCCAAATCAAAGGAGCGTGACACCGCCATCGATTACGAAGCCACGCACGCTGGTCCAAGCATCATCTCGATCCCTGCCATTGTGGTCAGTAGGCAGAAGATGCTAAGAACATCCTTTGAGTCTGATGATGTACCAACTCCCCGCATGTGACCCACCTCTCGACGTGACAGATGCAGGCATCAAATTTCACCGTCACCGCAGTACTGGCTCTGCTTCTTTGGCCATCAAAATATCTCTTGCGTGCGCTCCTCGCTTCGACGAGTTCGTAGCGAAGGTCCATGGAGCTCCCTTCTCCGCTCCAGCTCCAGTATTCCACCTCAACATGATAGAGCACGAATACTTTGCCGCGGAAGCGTGGGTCACGCTTTTTGAACGTACGCGTTCTTTTCTATTCAGTTTCAGGCGCCTTCACGAAGCTGTAGCCAGCTCTCACTGGCAAGAAGTGCGATAGAAGGGCTGCTCGAACCCGGCCGGCCAAACAGCGCAAAGCTCCCATGTTGGTCTCACTGTAGCCTCATTCCCGCCATGACGGCAGCACCGTTTCCAGTAGTGCTCCCCACCGCAACCCCTATTGTTTGCAAGGCTCAGTGGTCACTGACGCTACAGTGTGCGAAACGCAAATAAATACACCCATCGTCGAAAGGGTTTTCAAGCAACACAGGCCGAAAACATAAAAAAAAGGGTCATTCTGAGATTGGGAGGGGGACAAGGTCAAAATCTTTCGGTGTCAGGGGGGGACACATGATATTGTATCGATACAGTAGGGGGCAGGTGCATTTTGTTTCGATAAAGGGGGGGGACGAAAAAAATCGACCCAAATAGGAGGGGGAATTTGGATTTCCGACTCGCACTTTTCGCGGAGTTGTTACAATGGTAGGGGGACTCTGATTTCTTGATCATTTTGGGGGGGGGACTAGGCTACCGTAAGCAATGTACGCAAGGGTGCTTTTAGTAGCCCTTCAATCCCCTCCTTGCAACCATCGAACATGCTACGACGTTCGCCCTGCGCTGGTACCGCTTTCTAGGACGGGAAATGCGAGATGGTAATGCCTCTGCTTTAATGCCTCTGCTTTTTCCATCTCGTCTTTTAACTTTTTCAAAAGGGATGTGGAGGGAGATACGCTCTGATCCGGGGTTTTCCTGCTCCAGCTGGAGCACAAAAACTAGTTTTTGTCCATTGCCTATATCTTGCCCGCATCCTTTGCCCGCTGCGCCCCGTTTCCGGCCACGCCTGAAATCAGCGTCCCTCCTTCCGGCATGCACTCACCTTGCCACCACGCACACCCCTCCTCTCCATTTCCGTCCTCGCCCCCCCTCGCCCGCCCGTGTCCACCCTACTACCTCCGCCCCATGCCGTGCATGCTTCCGCAGCCCGCCAACCTCCGCCGGACGCACGGTGTAGTTGCCCTCGATATACAGAGATGGCGGAGGAGCTCTTTGCGGATGGTCCTGTAATGCGTGTACGGTGGTTGTCGACGATAGATGCCCTTGCTTTTAACAAGGGCAGCTATGGTCTTGCTGTTGATATTAGGTTCACACGATGCCTCTTCTAGTATGCAACGCCCTACCTGCTGTGCAGTATATGCAGGAGCACATGCTTTGTTGTGATTTATCCGCCGGTTGGTCGGGCTTGCTCCAGGGGCCGGCACTACCTGTCCAAAACACTCGTTTGCGTGTTCGAGGTACTTGTTAAGTTTCCAAAAACCACTCCGTGGTTGGAGATCGAATACGAACGTCGCGTGGCAGGTCTTAACTCGGCACCGCATGACCACCTTAACTAGAGTTTGGTGGATATTTATACCGTTTTGCACGCCCAAATCAGCTGTCTGTGCCCTCACAAGTTGCTCGCATTTCCAGCGAGCGCTGAGACGCATTCCCAAGACTGGTAAAATCGACTTCCCCGGGCGCGGCTTCCATGTGCGAGCAGCAACGCTATCTCCCTGTAGTGCAACCCGTGCGCAGTCCAAGCATCGCTTCTTGGACTGGTACTTTTGCTGGCGCCGCCTTTCATTCTTACTTACAGTATCGTAGTCTTCGGCATGGTTGTTATCCTGTGTTGTGGCACTCTCATCGTCATCTTGATTTTCAATGTCGACATCTATATAGTCGGCTATGTAATCTGCCGGATTGAAATCTGTGTTGAATCCTTCCTCGGTCTCTCCATTTGAGGAGTTCAATTCATCATCGCTCAACTCTTCAGTACTAGAATAAATGTCGCCTCCATGTTGACTGAAAGAGTCAGCAGGCATACCCCGCGCTGCCCTCTCCTCGCGAAGCTGTTCTGCTCGCTCGGCCATATCTTTATCCTCTTGGGCCTGTTTATCACAGTCAACGTCAGCATCAGCGTGCGTATCTATCTCCTCGTCTTCCCTATTTTCGTCCTCTGACTGGAAAGAGGGCTCATCTGCCTGATCACGGGGCACGTCATCCTTAGAATTGCTTGGTGTGGAATCGCTACGCACGCGCTGGTTGAACTCGTTCATTTCTTCGCGATACATTTTTTCTTGTTCTTCACGATGTAGGGATTCCTCGGCACGTGTTTGTGAAATTGTGTACTTCAAATTGGGTTGGATATGAAACTGAGGGGCCGGACCATGCATAAGTTCATGGAATTCGTGTTCTTTCTTCACAATTTCCCAACATCGTGACAGTACCACCATGCACCTTGACAGCTGCCTCATGCATTCTTCACGTTCCGCCATAGCCTCCAGCCCGTTCGCACGGGCAACATGGTGGTCTGGATGGACCATGAGGGCTAGTTTGTGGTAGCTGCGTCGAATGGCTTTGAAAGAAGTTCCAACGCAGAACACGTCGCTAATTAGTGTACAATCTCTCTCCACCGTGCTGAAGTGCCGCAGCGCTAGCTGCAAAGTAGATGGGAACAATCTTTTTGGCGGCATAACTGAAATACGGAAAGATATCTGGTTCCCCTTGGTAACCGTACGGTGGGAGAGCTGAAAGAGTACGAACGGGATGGGGACAAAGAAAATCTGGGTCAAATAGGTGGGGGAATTTCCATCCCGTTTCAATGAATTTTTTCGCATGTTCCGATCAGGAGGGGGACATGGGAAAAAGTTTCGTTTTAAGGGGGTGACTGCTCGTCTCGGACACAGTTTAGGGGGGGGAATCGGTCATTCCCCCCCCCCTT